GCATGGCACGTACATTGCTACTTCTGCAGATGATGTTATACAAGATGCGAAAAGCTTCGAAAGAGAAAAGGATGCTGGAATTGATGAATTCCGCCCTGGAATTCACCTTTAGGTGAACAAAGAATGTGCTGGCTTACACGTGTTTGTCAAACCGCCATGACTACGGGGAAGACACAAGCGGACTGGAGAACGGGAGCTGTCGTACCCCTATTTAAGAAGGGAGAAAAAAAGGAGTGCTCCGATCATCAGTGCATTACGTGATTTAGCCTCCCACGTAAAGTCTGCGCATAGGTGCTAGAAAGGTGCCACGGAATAAATGACTGCAAGATACAAGAAAGGCGCTGTGGCTTCCGGGCCGATCGAAACACCTCGGGCCATATATTTACAATGCGCAAGACTGCTGAGAAATCATGAAGATTCGCCCATCTGGTGCACAGGTGATTTGTTGACCTAGAAACAGCCTATGACAGAATTGCGCGCAACAGTGTGATCACGCCTGCGAACAAGCGGAAAGACAGGCAGCTGTTACGGGCCATATAAGCATAGTAATCTGATAGTAGGTGCAGCGTCAGAGTAAATGGCGTTAAGTCGAAGCTTTACCGCGTTGGCACTGATCTCCGCCAAGGCTGCATCCTAACCCCCTCTCCTGTTTGTGTTGCACATGGATAGAACATTCAGGAGCAGTCAAGGCGATGCGTATATCTGTGCAGGAGAAGAGGAGACGAGAAGGTTGCAGACGGTCATGTTTAACTGGCATCTTCTGAAACTGGTCTACGGTGCTCCTAGAAAGTTTCGCAGTCGAGTGCGGCGTGACGGGCATGAAGGTCAACGCATCTAAAACGAAAAGCCCAGTACTTCCTCGTTCTCCTTCTCGTCACTCTCTTCAGATTAACGGAGGCAGTGGAGCAGGTGGAGAAGTTCAAGTACCTCGGAGTCGTGTTTACTAGTGATTGAAAATTTGAGGAAGAGATAGACCGGCGAACTGGAGTAGCCAATGGCATTCCTGAATTAGCCCGAAC